TTGGTGCAATGCCAGAGGATATTCAAAGATTTGTCAATGCACAGATTGACTCCTCATCACGCCTGTCCAAACATGTCCAGAGGCAACCCAAGCTACGAGAAGACATTCATTCAAAAATCAGCAGTAAATCTGTGGATGGAATGTAAGCTGTGATTAATTAATTATTGTTGGAAAGAGACTGACATAAATTGCAACCAGGTTCCTTCTTGCCAAGCTTCACATCGATTCTCTAAGCACAAAGAATACAATCCGGGAAGTTCGAGAAGCTGTGAACACCCTCCCAACGAGTCTTTATGGCAGCTATGAAACTGCAATACAGCGAATTGATGCCCAGAGCAATGAAGACAGAAAGACAGCTCACTCAACCATCACTTGGGTTGCAAATGCAAAACGACCATTAACAGTTGGAGAATTACAAGTGGCTCTTGCTGTTAAACCAGGCATGAAAAAATTGGATGAGGAGGATCTGACTGACATCGACATTATTCTCTCTGTCTGCGCTGGGCTTGTCATTGTGGACAAGAAATCTTCCGTGGCGCGACTTGTGCACTACACCACACAGGAATATCTGGACAGCATTCAGGCCCTGCATTTCCCAGATGCACAAACAGAGATAACATGCACTCTGCTCACAGTCCTTGCCTTTGATGGATATCCAGATCAGTCCTGGAGTGATTGGAGGGCCACTCCACCCCCGCTTGTTGAATATTCTCAACATTGCTTTGCTCATGCTGCTGGCCAGCCTGAAGATCAGCTCAGAGAAAATATTCTGGAGTTTCTTGATCAAGCCCCTCAGTGGAACAAAACAATGATGTGGATATGGCACTGCCCACCATGGAATTATTCCGATTGGCCGTCACAACCCTCTGCATTGTGGATTGCTGCAGCTGCAAACCTTGGGGAAACCGCAAAGTTTCTATTGGAGGGGCCACCTTTGCACAACTATTCAGGAACAGAGATCATTGCAGCATCATACTATGGCCATCTTGATATTGTTCAGTTGCTAGTCGAGAATAGGGCAGATGCCAATGCACAGAGTGAACAATATGTTTCTGCATTTTATGTAGCATTGGTCAAGCACCACCAAAAAATTGCAGAGCTGCTCCTCAGTAACCTCAACAAGTGCATCTCCAAGCACAGAGACACTGTTCATCTGACTCCAGATAGACATCCAGATGAGCTTGCCACCCTGAACAACCTTGGAAATTCTGTGCAAACTTCCACCTCACTCAGCAGCCTTGCTTCTGCACTTTTGACACATTTTGAGGAGACAGGTCAGCTGGAAGACTTGGAGGAATCCACTGCTGTTCACCAACAAGCATTGGAGCTGAGCCCTGGATCTGACCCCAACCCATGTTGCTCACTCAACCACCTCGCAAATGCGCTTTTGACACGATTTGAGGAGACAGGTCAGCTGGTAGACTTGGAGGAATCCATTGCTTTTCACCGACAAGCATTGGAGCTGAGACCTGGATCTCATCCCGACCAATCCAGCTCACTCAACAACCTCGCAGATGCGCTTGTGAAGCAATTTAAGCAGACAGGTCAGCTGGCAGACTTGGAGGAATCCATTGCTTTTTACCAACAAGCTTTGGAGCTGAGACCTGGATCTCACCCCAACCGAGGCAGCTCACTCAACAACTTCGCAAATGCGCTTTTGACACGATTTGAGCAAACAGCTCAGCTGGCAGACTTGGAGGAATCCATTGCTTTTCACCAAAAAGCATTGGAGCTGAGACCTTTATCTCACCCCGACCGATCCAGCTCACTCAACAACTTTGCATATGCACTTTCAACACGATTTAAGCAGACAGGTCAGCTGGCAGACTTGGAGAGATCCATTGCTTTTTACCAACAAGCTTTGCAGCTGAGACCTGGATCTCACCCCGAGCGATCCAGCTCACTCAACGACCTCGCAAGTACACTTTCGACGCGATTTAGGCAGACAGGTCAGCTGGCAGACTTGGAGGAATCCATTGCTTTTCACCAACAAGCTTTGCAGCTGAGACCTGGATCTCATCCTGGCAGATCCAGCTCACTCAACGACCTTGCATATGCACTTTCAACGCGATTCGGGCAGACAGGTCAGCTGGCAGACTTGGAGGAATCCATTGCTTTTCACCAACAAGCATTGGAGCTGAGACCTGGATCTCACCCCTACCGATCCAACTCACTCAACAACCTTGCAAGTGTGCTTTCAACACGATTTACGCAGACAGGTCAGCTGGCAGACTTGGAGGAATCCATTGCTTTTTACCAACAAGCATTGGAGCTGAGACCTGGATCTCACCCCAACCGATCCAATTCACTCAACAACCTCGCAGATGCACTTTTGACACGATTTGAGCAGAAAGGTCAGCTGCCAGACTTGGAGGAATCCATTGCTTTTCACCAACAAGCTTTGCAGCTGAGACCTGGATCTCACCCCAACCGATCCAACTCACTCAACAACCTCGCAGATGCACTTTTGACACGATTTGAGCAGACAGGTCAGCTGGCAGACTTGGAGGACTCTATTGCTTTTTATCGACAGGCATTGGAGCTGAGACCTGGATCTCACCCCAAACGATCCAGCTCACTCAACAACCTTGCAAATGCGCTCTCCACGCAATTTGAGCACACAAGTCAGCTAGCAGACTTGGAGGAATCCATTGCATTTCACCAACAAGCACTGGAGCTGAGACCTGGATCTCACCCCAACCGATCCAGCTCACTCAACAACCTCGCAAATGTGCTTTCGATGCGATTTGAGCAGACAGGTCAGCTGGCAGACTTGGAAGAATCCACAGCTTTTCACCAACAAGCAATGGAGCTGAGACCTGGATCTGACCCCAACCAATTGGGCTCACTCGACAATCTCACAAATACGCATTCAACATGAATTGAGCAGCAGTAACCATATGTGAGTTCGATTCAAGTGTCTCAATATAAAATCCAGTTTACTCATTGCTCGTTTAATCAGCTGTGCAGGCCAATCACACAAGAAGATGGTATATTTCTGTGCCGGAGATGTTGGGGGGGGGTGTTCGTGTTCTATTAAAGAGTACAGAACCATGTTGATACATTGTCATGTAAACTGAAACAAAAACAGAGCCTAAACAGAGTTCACACAAATATTGCTCACCTAGAACGGTCAAATGAAACTTCTTCTAGAATCAAGCAAAGGGAAACAACTGATAACAAACACAACAGGGAAGTATTACAAGGTGTGCAAAACTTTTAGACCGTACAGTGTTTCATTCAACACCTTTGTATCACTCTTTTTTGTGTTTTTCTTTTTACTCATTATCAATTATAAACCAATGTGAGACTCCGACATCTTACAGCCACTGTGCTAACCCACACGCTCGGTGGAAGTTCAAAGGTAGGGCTATCACAGCGTATGGGTTCCCAGACCGGGTAAAGTCTTCGGCAAAAGCCGAAAGCGGTCCAAACTGCACAGTCGAACACAAAATTTCATGTCATAGCACCTCCTTGGACACCAAACCAACTTATTTCAACGTTTAAAACCTGCATACTAACCATGTGTCTTCCAAGATAAGGACAAGAGTGTCAAAGGTGATCAAACTCCATGCACTTCAATCCCGACTTCTTTCACCCACACAATCTTCTCGCCTAATCGTTTCAACTCTCTTCGATCCTTGCTGCAATTCCTAGGAGGACCCGAAGGCCCGGACGAAGCCTGAAAGAAGCAAAAATATGACAGCTGCATCAAGTATTAGTTCCGACGCTGGGAATCGAACCCAGGTTCCCTGCTCACAGGTGCGAGATGATGAAGTAATGGCTGGCAGGAGTGCACCGTGCACGACGTCGGAGGTATTCAGTCGCGATGGGCTGCGGATATATGGACAAGCTTTCGGTTCATCCGAGTACTTGCGATGCGGGTGAGTTGTCTGAAGTTCAGCAGCCACAAGTTGAACAGGCTTCAGATCTGGAGTGGCTAGAAAAAATATCAGAATAGGCGTGCTTTCCATGCGGATCAGCATGCCGCGCACTGGAAAATAAAATATAAAATCCCGGCGTCCTTCGCAGCGGGGACAAAATGCACACACCAAATCAAATTCGTTAATGCGACGCTGGGAATGTAACCCAGATTACCCGCCGACTTTTTCGAAATTGTCTATCGCTCGCAGGTGTGTGCCGTGCACTACGTCGGATGCATTGGCCAGGAATTCACTGTGGATACAAGATGTGGGTGGATAAGGTGTGGGTGAGCCGTCCGATTTTTCAATGGCCGGAGAAACGATATTCTTACTCGAAGAGAGATACGCATCGGAATAGGCCTGCGTTCCAAGACAGGATTCATAGCACAGAATAACGGTAAGACAAATCTGATATACTGTATCCTTCAGCCAAAAAATCAAGATCAATGTTTCCTTATTCCAACGCTGGGAGTCGAACCCACCTTCTCCCGCCGACTGAAATTGTCTATCGCTCGCAGGTGTGCGCCGTGCACAACGCCGGTCGGTGGAACTTGGCTATGGATATGTGGATAACCTTTCCACTCAAACACGTACCTGTGAAACGAGTGAGTCTTCAGTTTTTCAACGGCCGCAAAGAAAATGATATTCGGAACTGAGCTGCTAGCCACTATTCCAAGTCAGTCATTTTTGAGAGCGAAAGCCCCACCGCCTTTGAAGCGGGGAAAAAGAAGGCGACCGCAATCCTATTCCGACGCGGGGAATCGAACCCAGGTTCCTGCTCGCAGGGTGGACCCAAAAGACTTGATTAAAGGCAGGTGTGCACCGTGCACGACGTCGGATGTATTCAGTGAAAGTTGGATTTGTATATGTGGACGAGCTGCGACTCATCCGTGAGTCGCCTACAATAAGTAATATTTTAACTGAGAATGTTGTATTGGAGAGAAATAGATATAGATATCAAAGGAGGAGCCGGTCTGCGCAGTCAATATTCGTCGCACAAAAAAAAAAAAACAGAAAACAACCCCAGCATACTATATCCTTCAATCAAAAAACGTCACCGAATACTCTTACTTGAAATTCCGACGCTGGGAATCGAACCCAGGTTCCCTGCTCACAAGTAGGGGGTATAGGGTCTATTGTTGGCAGGTGTGCGCCTTGCACAACGTCGGAGGTATTGGGTTGGAAGCTGGGTGTGGATATATGGGTCAGCTTTTGGCTCATATAAGTACTTGTGAAATGGGTGAGTCGCACTTTTTCAGCGGCCGTAAAAGACAAGATCTGAGTTGAATACGAATAGCCTGCGTTCCATGTAGAATCTAAGTCAGCATTTTAAGAGCAAAGACAAACGCTAAAACAAGCCCAGACCTGTATTTTTGATCCAAAAGAGTGCAATGCATCAATACGCACTATTCCGACGCTGGGAGTCGAACCCAGGGTCCCTGCTCACAAGTCGGAGGTGTATGGCATTGTTGGCAGGTGTACGCCGTGCACGACGTCGGAGGTGTTGGGTCGTATGCGAACGGGAGTTTATGGGGAAGTGCGTGCGAGGGTCCAAGCACGGTGACTCGGGATCCAGGGTGAAATCAGCCAGTGGGTCGGACTCATTGATGTGCCGCAAAAAGCAGGATTGAATAAATGTCTCGGATGATACAGGTGGTTGGTTGTATACTCTGTGGTTCGGACTCCGGAGTCAGTCTGAGATGGAATACAAGCTGGGTGAAAAAGGAATAGAAAGAGTACTGAAAAGATTTGCTAAATTATCTAAAAATTTAACCTTCATCTTTCCGTCGGGGAAATGGCAGCCGGCGCTCACCTGGCCTAACATTAAACGTATCCTTGCGTTAATGGCGCCTTACCGCGTCGAAGCGTTGAATCTGAAATTTGATTGTTGAGTCGTGCATCCCAGGGAGTCCGGGACCGAGAAAGCCGAAAATCGTCACAGGAAGGCTTCCGAATAAGAATTAGTTTAGAAGACAGGAACAAGGCGCGTCGCGGATCCTGTGAATGTGAATGTGAAAGTATGTGTTACAAGTTACATACATGTGAAGGTTGAACGGGACATGATTCATTTGACGTGCGGACCGGGTGCCCGATGAATTTGGGGCGAAGGTTGGGAGGAGTGTGGGTTTGTATGCTTCATTTATGGGTGGTGAATTGATAGTTCTGTCTTAAGGAGTATTCGTGAATTTTTTTGGTGTTCCCTGCGTAATCGCAGCCCAAATGATACCCCGTTGCGTTGAATTTCCTATTGATCGACCGTTCAACCTCTTTTTCTGCCTCCTACAGCCCTCCAAATCCCCTATTCACCACACACAAAACAAAGCCCCACTCCTCCTCTCCCCGAAAGATAAAGCCATCAGCGCGCGCCTCCCTCTCCAGACCCCAAAATCACACATTTCCGCGCGCCGAGCTCGGGAATTCCCGTGCCGATATCCCAAAAAGGCAAGCGATCGGCAAGTGAAGTGCACCTTCACAGAAGCCGCCGTCAGGGAGAAATGGTATAAAGAGCGAGTGGGGGCTGGCGCTCTTTCTTTCCTCCCCCGACCTCTCCTCTCTCTCTCCCTTCTCCTCCTCGACTCCCTCCACCCCTCCTCTTTCGGTTGCCGTTGCCGTTGCCCATCCAGTCCAGTGGGCTGTAGTAGATCGTAGGTGGGTGCGGATCCTCGCCTTTTTCTGTCTTTTTCCCGTCTTTTTGGGGCGCTTTTCGTTCTTCTGGGTGTTAATTTCGTGGATGTGTGGTTTGGGATGGATCAGGGAGCCGTGGATGCGGTTGTCACAGGGAGGATGGTGTCGTGTATCGTTCTTTCTTCTTCTGACTCTCATCCATCGTTCGTGTCGCCTGGAAGTCATGAAGAGCTTTTTGGCTCCTTTCGTCGTGGTCGCGTTGCGTGGCTCCTGTATCCCAGAGTCTCTGACGCGCCGTAGGATCGTGTCGTGCGCCGTTCTTTCCTTCCTCCATGTACATCTTCTTTCCTTTGTCTCGCCCCGTGGTGTCGTTCTGGATGTCCCGGCAATAGTGAAGGAGACACGAATCTCTCATCTTTCTCTTCTCTTTCCTCTCCGCGTGCGGCTCGGAGCGCGCGCCGTGCCTCGTCGTCGCGTTCGGTACACCTCATCATCGCGTTCGGTGCACCGCGCCTTCGTATCTACCGTGGCTTTTCTTCGTTTGGGGCGCATGCGTCGCGGATACACCTATCTGGAGTACCCTTCTATGACTCTCTTCGGGCAGCGTACACGACAACTCCGTTTCCTCTCTCCGTTCTCTCCGTATCTGGCTTCCCGCGTCTTGGAATCGGGCATATGCCGCGTCTCCTGGGCGGTCGCGTTACGTGGCTCCTGCATTGACCGCCCGCAGTCTTATCGTGTCGTGTGCCGTTCTTCCCTCCCTTCGCATCTTCTTTCTTTCCTTCCTATCGCTGTTTCGTGCCGTTCCGGATGTCCTGGCGGATGGCGGCGGGAACACGAGTCTCTCTGATCTTCCCCTTCTGTCTCCGCGTGCGGCTCGGAGTGCGTCGGCGTTTCGCTTTCGTGCGCGCCGTCGCGTTCTTCGTGTCTGTACCGTGGTTTTCTTCGTTTTGGGCGCATGCGTCGCGCGTCGCGGATACAATACTGCGCCCACATATCGCTAGCCTCGCAGAGTACCCCTCTGGTGTGCTGCGCTCTTTTCTCTGCTCGGGCGGCGTGTGCGGCGACTCGGTTTAGTGCTCTGCGTATCCGGCTTCCACGTTTCTTTCCTTTTGTCTTCTTACTTCATACAATGATTTTACTAACATCTACCCCAGCTCCTTCCCCCAATGCAGCACCACCACCACCACCACCAATCGCCCTTCCTCGCGCTCTACGACCACAGCCCGCCGCCGCCGCCCCCGCGCCCGCCCGTACCCGCCCCGGCGTCCAAATCGTCATCGTCGGCGTCGATCTGGGCCCCGCAGCCGCAAGCGAGCGAGACGACCTGGCCGCGCACGCTCGACGCATTCGCGCGCTGCGCACCGGTACCGGATTCGGATCCCCCACGTCAAGACCTGGACTTCTTCGCGCCTCTCGTGGGCCCCGGCGCCGTCGGCGACGGGCGCGGCAGCGCTATAACGCATATGCAGACGCAGAGTGGGGGCGGCGCGACCCCGGATCTGCGCGCGGATAGTGTATGCTTGTTTCTTTCTCACCACCCCCATCTTTTCCTTTCCTTTCGAGTTTCGTAATGGCTGACCGCGCGGTGCAGCACGTCGCGCAGCTGCTGCGCACGCTCAACCTCAATTCGCCCGAGCCCGAGGCCGCCGCCGCCACGACGCGCTCTTCGCCCGCCAGCACGGGGAGCGCGCGAAGCGGCGCCAGCGGCGGGCGGATGAAGCTCGCGCCGCCGCCGCTCGATCTTAGCTTCACCAACAACTCCACTTGCACGTCCAACAGCTCTGCCTCCATCCCCGCGTCTGCCTCCATCTCTGCTGCTTCCGCCACCACCAACACCAGCCTCTCCTCATCTGCATCCCCAAACACCTCCACAGCCCCGGGGGACGACGACTCCGCCGGCTCGCTCCCCTCGCTCACGCGCTCCTTCTCCTCCGCCTCCTTCTCCGCCTCCGCATCCGCCAACTCGTGCCCGGAATCCCCCGACTTCTCCCCGCTCTCGTTCTCCTCCGCGCTGCTCACACCGCTCGACTCCCCGCACGGACACGGGCTCGGACTTGGGCTTGGATCCCCGCTGCATGGAGGCGCGGGTGCCGGCGCGGGGATGCACTCTCCTATTGGACATGGGCACGGGCATGGGCTCCTGCACTCCCCCGCTGGGCTGCATCACTCGCCGCTGCACGGGCACGGGCACGGGCACGGGCTGCTGCACTCCCCCACACACGGCCTCCACTCGCCCTCGCACCTCTCGTTCTACAAGGAGCGCTATGCGTTCGACGCCCCCGCCCCCGGCGCGGCGTACCTCCTCGACAGTCCCGGGCGCAACACCGCGCATCATCACCTCGAGCATCAGCATCCCAATAGCAACGCGCACTCGCCTTCCGCGGCTGCTTCACCTTCTTCTGCTTTATTCGGCAGTCAGCAGGGCCAGGGACAGCAGCACGCGCACGCGCACTCGCACTCGCGCTTCCTCCCCCTCCCGCCGACGCCCTCGTCCGCGCTCAACGCGCTCCCGCCGCACCTCGGGCACGGGAGTCCCGCGGGTTTGGGCGGGGGCAGCGCGCTCTTCCCCGAGGCGTACTACCGCTCCAGCAACGCTAACGCTAATGATCTCAGTACGGGCGGTGGGGACTGGCTGCGCGCGGAGGACGGGCACGGGCACGGGCACGGGCTTGGGCTTGGGCTCGGCGTTGGGTTCGGGCAGGGTGGGGGCGCGTTGTTCGGCGGCGGGGGCACGGAGGAGCAGGGGTTCGCGCTGCGTGGGTCGTTTGTGTATCAGCAGCAGCAGCAGCAGCAGGCGCAGGCTCAGCACGCGCAACAGCAGCAGCAGGCGCAGCAGCAAGTACAGGCTCAGCACGCGCAGCAGCAACAGCAGCAGCAAGTACAGGCTCAAGTCCAGGCGCGTCAGCAGCAGCAGCAGGTACTCCAGCAACAGCATGTGCAACAGCAGCAGCACGCTCAGCAACAGCAGCAGCAAGACGCGCTCGGGCTCGGGCTTAGCCTCGGGCTCGGTGCTGGGTTCGGCGGCGGCGGGAAGGGTGCGTTAGATGAGGCGGGGAGCGGGGGTGGTGCGGCGGGTGCGGCGGGGGTTAGTGCTGGTGCTGGTGCTGGGAACGGGAGTGAGAGTGTCAAGGGGAGCGGGGGACGCGAGGGGCGCGGGAGCAGTAGCGGGAACGAGGTATTCTTGTTTCTTCTCCTCCTCTTCGACACTTCCCTTTCACTGACCCCTCCTCCAGCCCATCAACTTCCTCTCCCTTCTGCACCCCGCGTCGTCGCCGCCGTACGCTACCTTCGTCGCGCGCATCATCAAGAATGCCGATCAGCAGGCGAGTATTTTCTTGCAGCAGAAGCTCAAGGTACGGACCACCATCTTCAGATCGACTCAATGCCCTGCGCTGACACCCCGCTCTCTCTCTTCAGGTCGCGGGCCCCGATGAGCGCGCTCGCATCGTCGACGCGATCTGCGCGCGCGGCGGGGAGATGATGATGCACCGGTGCGTTTCTTCTCCCTCGTCACCCGAACCCCACACTTACTTACGCCGCCG